AAGTGGGTGTTGAAGTCCCCTACTATTATGGCATTATTATCAATGAGTTTCTTTATGCTTGTCACTAATTGACTTATATATATTTGCTACTTCACATTGGGGGCATAAATATTAGAATTATTAGATCTTCTTGGTGGATAGACCCCTTAATTATGATATTATGCCCCTATTCATCTCATTTGACAGTATTTGTTTTAAAATCTAGTTTGTCTCTTATAGGTATGACGACTCCAGCTTTCTTTTGATGACCATTTGCATGATGGATGGTTCTCCATCCCCTTACCTTCAATCTGTAGGGGTCTTTAGGTCTAAAATGAATCTCTTGTAAGCATCTATAGATGGCTCTTGTTTTCTTATCCATTCTGATACCTGATGTCTTTTGATTGGAGGATTTAGTCCATTAACATTTAGAGTGAGTACTGAAAGATATGAATTTAGTGCCATTGTGTTGCCTGTAGAATTGGTGTTTCTGGTGACATTCTGTGGTCATTTCTAGTCTTTGTTGCTTTTTGTCTTTTTTGTTTCATCTCATCTTTTCTCCACTCAAAGAGTCCCCCTTAAAATTTCTTGCAGGGCTGGTTCACTGGTCACAAACTCGTTTAGTTTTTGTTTTCCTGGGAAACTCTTTATCTCTCCTTCTATTTTGAATGACAGCCTTGCTGAATAAAGAATTCTTGGCTGCATATTTTTCCAATTCAGGATGTTGAATATATCCTGCCACTCCTTTCTGGCCTGCCAAGCTTCTATGAACAGATCTGCTATGAACCTGATTTGTCTTCCCTCATAGGTTAAGAACTTTTTTCCCTTGCTACTTTCATATCTCTCCTCGTCTGTGTATTTTGTGAATTTGACTATGATATGCCTTGGTGATGGTTGTTTTTTGTTGAATCTAATGGAAGTTATCTGTGCTTTTGAATTTTGATGTTTGTGTCCTTCCCCAGATTCAGAAGGTTTTCCATTATAATATGCTCACATTAACCTTCTGCCCCCTTTCTCTCACTTCATCTTCTGGGACTCCTATGATTCAGATGTTATTCCTTTTTAATAAGTCATTGAGTTCTGTAAGTCTTGTATTGTGATCTTTTGTTTTTGTTTCTCGCTTTTTTTCTGCTTCATGTTTCTCCATAATTTTATCTTCTATATCGTTGATTTGCTGCCCTGCTTCATCCAACTTGCCATCACGGCATCCATTTTAGATTACATCTCGGTTATAGCATTTTTAATTTTATCCTGACTAGATTTTATGTCTTTTATCTCTGCAGAAAGGAATTCTCTGCTGTCTTCTATTGTAGTTTTCATTTACATCTCCCTGATGACTAATGATGCCAAGTATTTTTTCATGTGCTTATTGGCATATGAAGACATTTGTATATATTCTTTGGGAAATATTCTACTCAGATTCTTTGCCCCTTTAAAAAAATTGCATTATTTTTAATTATTGGGTTGGAAGAGTTTTTTATATGTATTCTGGATACAATTCCTTATCAAATATATGAATTACAAATATTTTCTCCCATTCCATGGAATGTCTTTTCACTTTCCTAATGGTGTCCCTTGAAGTACAGAAGTTTTATCTATTGATAAAGCCTAATTTTTCAATGTTTTATTTCATTGTTCATGCTTTTGGTGTCATATCTAGAAGGCTTTACCTAACCTTAGATCAGGATGATTTACTCTCATATTTCCTTCTAAGAATTTTATAGTTTTAGCTCTTACATTTAGATGTATGGTTTATTTTGAGCTAAATCTTGTGTATGCTATAAAGAACATGCCCAGCTTTGCATCAGGAAACCTCACAACAAGTTACTTTTTCAAGAAGAACCAAAGGAATGAGCTTTTTTTTTTAATAAGTTTTTTTTTTAATGTTTTATTTATTTCTAGGAGAGAGAGAGAGAGACAGCGTAAGCAGGGGAGGGTCAGAGAGAGAGGGAGTCACAGACTGAAACAAGCTCCAGGCTCTGAGCTGGCAGTCAGCACAGAGCCCGACGCGGGGCTCGAACCCACGAACCGCGAGATCATGACCTAAGCGAAAGTCGGACGCTCAACCGACTAAGGCACCCAGGCGCCCCGGAAAGAATGAGCTTTTTGATGCTTGGCCTTTCATTATTGAATTATTTCATCAATTCAAATGATTAGGTTCTAACTTTTGCTGTGGCCGTGAATTCCACTTTATTTTCTCCCTCCCTCCTTCCTTCTTCTTCCTTTTCTTTCTTCTTTCTCTCTTTTTTTCTTATTTTCTTTCTTTCTCCTTTCATAGTTGTTGCCAGCTTCTGTTCTTATTCCCCTAGACAATTAATAAATAGTTATTGAGCACCTGCTGTACACTTATTACTTCACCATGTAATGAAGGGGAATATCTACAAGACATAGGCTCTGCCATAAAGGAGTTTACAATCCAGTTGAGGTAGTGAGTGTCACATATATCAAATGTTAACTCAAGGGCACCTGGGTGGCTCAGTTAGTTAAGTGTCCGTGGGATTCTCTCTCTCTCTCCCTCTGTCTCTCTGTCTCCCTCTCTCTCTCCCTCTCTGTCTCTCTCTCACACAATAAATAAATAAACTTTAAAAAAAAATTTAACCCATAACATAAGGTCAATAACAACCTAAGGCTCAAACTGGTCCCAGGAACGCAGTGAAATGTTTGTATTGTGGCAAAATGGCAAAGCCACATATAGATCAATGGAGTATAATCAAAGAGATGTGGAGATGAGAGCGCTCAAACACTGCTGGTGGAAATGTAACATAGTATAGCCACTTTGGAAAACAGATTGGCAGTTCCTTAAATGGTTAGGCACAAAGTTGCCAATTCTAATCCTAGAGAAGTGAAAGCATATCCAGAGAAAAACTTGAATACAAATGTTTATAGCAGCATTATTCATAAGAGCCAAGATCTGGAAAATAATCAAAACATCCATCAACTGATGAATGGATAAATAAAATGCAGTATATCCATATAAGAGAATATTATTCAGCCATTACAAGGTACATGCTACAATATGATGAACCTTGGAAAGGTTATGCTAAGTGAAAGAAGCTTGTCACAAAAGACCAGAGATTATATAATTCTATTTATTTAAAAATGTTCATAAATGTATAGTCAGAAAGTAGATGAGTAGCTGCTTTGGGCTTGAGGAGCAGGGTGATAGGGGTGTGACAGCTGGAGTGTGAGATTTCTTTTTGAGGTGATGAAGACATTCTAAAATTGACTATGGTGATGGTTGCACAACTCTGAACTTACCAAAAATAACCTTTCTGTAAAAATTCAGTAGGTGAATTATATAATGCATAATTATATCTCAGTAAAGTTGTAATTAAGAAAAAAAAAAAAAACATGGGGCACCTGGGTGGCTCAGTAGGTTAAACATCTGACTTCGGCTCAGGTCATGATCTCATGGTTGATGGGTTCGAGCCCTGCGTCAGTCTCTGTGCTAACAGCCAGCTCAGAGCCTGGATCCTGTTTTGGATTCTGTGACCCTCCCCTGCTCACACTGTCTCTCTCTTTCTCTCTCTCTCTCTCAGAAATAAAATAAAAAACATTTTTTAAAAAAACGAGCAAATAGGAGTTCCTGGGTGGCTCAGTTGGTTAAACGTCCAACTCTTGATCTCAGCTCAGGTCTTGATGTCAGGGTCTTGATCTCAGGGTGGTGAAGTCAAGCCCCACCTTAGGCTCCACAACGGGCATGAAGCCTACTTAAACAAACAAACAAACAAAAAACAAAGAAACAAAGACAACCAAAGCCAGAGGGATGAGAAAAAGGGAGAGATAAGTGAAGGCTGGGAAGAAGGCCTCAAAGAAGGCTTCATAGCAAAAGGCTCATCTCTTCATCCATCTATTCATTTGTTCATCCATGAAGTATGGATTGAGCATTTACATGTGTCAGATATTGTTCTAGGTACAAGGGATACAGCAGTGAACAGAACAAAGCCCTTGCCCTGAAAAACGAAACATAGTTAGAAGAAGGGTAAAATGGAGAAGGGGCTACATATCAGTGGTTTAAGAAAGCTATGACCTGACTGAAGAGTGGGAGCAAATCAGAGTAGAGGCTCTGCAGGAAAAGCTTTCCAGACAGAAGGAACAACATGAACAAAGGCCTCAAGGCAGGAGCATGCCTATGTGTTGGAGATAGAGTAGAAAGAGTACCTGAAGTAAAAGAAAAGAGATAAATCAGAGAGCCAAGTAGGGGCAGGTCAAGGAAAGATTTGAAGCCACCATGAGAGCTTTGGATTTTTTCCTCAGTTTGATGAGAGAGGGTTTTGAACAAAGATGGTATAATGTGGCTTACAGTTTAAGAACATCTCTCTCTGTCCTGAGGAGTACAGCCTGTGAAGGCTAGAGCAGAGGCTCAGAGACTAGTTGGGAGGCTGCTGCAATTATGCCAGTGAAAGAGAACATGGCTTGGACCCGAGTGGAAACAGAAAGCAAAAGCCAACAATGGTTGCTGATGGATTGAATGGAGGATGTGGGTCAGATTTCAAAATGAAATGTTTCAGTTATGTATCTATCACGTTGGTGATCTGCTGGGCATGTTTGTGTGTGGATGTGTTCTAATCAACTATATTGAGGTGAAATATACATATGGTAACATTCACCAATTTTAAAGTATAGTGTTTTTAGTTTTGATAAATGTAGATACTGTCATTGTATATATACTATAATCATGATATATAACATTTTATTCTCCCTAGAAAGTTCCCTCATACCCATTTGCCAGGTATAGCTCCTAGAAACTACTGACCTGCTTCCTTTTCCTATCATTTTGCCTTTTACAGTCATATAAATAGAATCATATGTCTCTTGTGTCTGGCTTCTTTCACTTAGTACCATGCTTTTGAGATTCATCCATAATGTTGCATATGTGAGTAACGTGTACCTTTTTTTTTATTGTTTTACAATGAATGTAATAGACCATACTTAGTCATTTAGGGAAGCCCTAACAAAATACCATAGACTGGATGACTTAAACAACAGTGATATATTTTCTTACAGTTCTAGAAGTCTGAGATCAGGATGTCAGCATTATCCGGTTCTTGTGAGGATTCTCTTCCAGGCTTGCAGCTGGCCACCTTCTCTTTGGGTCATCGCCTGGGGGCACATTAATCCCATTATGAGGGCTCTACCCTTGTGGCCCCCTCTACGTCTAATCATCAAAGACCCCATCTTCAAATATCAAATTAGCAGGTAAGGCTTCAACATATAAATTTTTGGTGACATCGTTCAGTCCACAGCACCACTTAATACACTAGACCACAATTTGTTAATTCATTTGCCAGTTAATAGGCATTTAAATTATTTCCAGTTTGGGGTTATGGTAAATTAAGCTGTTATAAACATTTTAGTACAATTTCAACCTAGGTCTTGGGCTAAAACCCAATAACGTTTTAGCACTGCTAAGTTGTCAAACTGCTATATGATAGGATAAGTCACAATATTCAGCATTTCTGACACACAAAAGTTCTGGGAACTGACAGTAGTCTAATAGAGTGAATGAAATTCACTATTGACATTGTGAAAAAAAATGACATGTGATAAATTAAAAATATTTTCAGGGGCACCTGGGTGGCTCAGTTGGTTAAGTGTCCAACTTTGGCTCAGGTCATGATCTCAGGATTCATGGGTTCCAGCACCACGTTGGGCTCTGTGCTGACAGCTCAAAGCCTGAAGCCTGCTTCAGATTCTGTGTCTCCCTCTCTGCCCTTCCCCTGTTTGCATTCTGTCTCTCTCTCTCAAAAATAAGTAAAAATATTTTCAATGAGGGGCACCTGCATGGCTCAGTTGGTTAAACACCTGACTCCTAATTTTGGCTTAGGTCATGATCTCACAAGGTGGAGCCCTGCATTGGCCTCTGTGCTGACAGCATGAAGCCTGCTTGGGATTTTCTCTCTCTCCCTCTCACTCTGCCCCTCCCCCACTCACACGCACGCATACACATGTGTGCTCTCTTTCTCTCTCAAAATAAGTACATTTAAAAATATATTTTCAATGAAGTAACTGCTGATGCATAATACAGTGAATACCAATAGGCTTTCCACACCTTACGTTTTTGCAAACTTTTACATTTGTTTAAGTCCTTTTCTGCTTCACACATATTTTTACCACCATCAGTTGTAATACATCTTTGTAGATTCCACTTCAGGTTGTATTGAATTAGTGTTTCCTCAACTTTGAAAATATTCTGTTCATTCAGAGTATTGACACAGACCAATCTTACTGTCATGTCAATGCTATTGAATGGCATTGACTCCTTGAATAAACAGTACTTACTGAGCAATATCAGTAACATCTATTTAAACACTTATTTTTTTTAATGTTTTTATTTATTTCTGAGAGAGAGAGACAGTGTGAGCAGGGGAGGGTCAGAGAGAGAGATACAGAATCTGAGGCAGGCTGCAGGCTCTGAGCTATCAGCACAGAGCCCGACGCTGGGATCGAACCCACGAACCGTGAGATCATGCATGACCTGAGCCAAAGTCGGATGCTTAACTGACTGAGCCACCCAGGCGCCCCATTAACATCTATTAACTCATCAAAGACAAGGAAATAATCTTCTTTGACTTTCAACTGATTGCTGACTTGCTCCCCACGTTCTCTTCTGCCCTCCAAATCTAACAGTAGTAAACAAGTTCATTTTCTCTGCACACATTTTGTCAGCTGATGCAATCAAACCCAATTTAATTAATTCACAATCAGAATGGCATTTGTTGTTTGGTTAACAAATGAATGACTCAGTAACTTCAGCTGCAGCTTCATTTTCCTTCTCTACATTTTTGAGGTAATTCTGATGTAATTAAATAGTCTGGTGGTTTTTTTTGTTTTTTTTTTGTTTTTTCTAGGAGAGAGAGAGAGACACAGCATGAGCAGGGGAGGGTCAGAGAGACAGGGAGTCACAAACTGAAACAGGCTCCAGGCTCCGAGCTGGCAGTCAGCACAGAGCCCGACACGGGGCCCGAACCCACGAACCACGAGATCATGACCTAAGCGAAAGTCGGACGCCCAACCGACTAAGCCACCCAGGCGCCCCTAAATAGTCTGTTTTAAATATCTCACGTAGATGATACATTCCCTCTTAAATTTTCTAGTTTTTTCTGACAGTTGTTCTCCTATGAGCCAAGAGTATTGTGTTGAGTGTTTAGTCAATAGGTATTATCTTTTTTTTTAACATGGATATCATTTTATTGCATAATAAGCATAACACATTGCCATCTAATTCATAAGAGAATAATTGGCATTCCTTTAGATTGTTGTTCAGGTCTACACCTCAGTCCAGCTTCTCCTTCTGCCCAATTCTGCTTCTGTCTCACCTTCCACAGGTGTGGGTCCTAAGAGCACCTCCTACTAGTCATAATGTGCTTGTTCCAAGAGAAAAGCCTGCTTCTGAGAGGAGCAGGAGTGTAGGAGTGGTCTGAGAGAGCGGGTGATCAGATGGAGGTTTTGGAGCTGTATTGCCTTTTGCTAGCCTCGCACTGAAGACCCCCTCACTGCCGGTACCTGGACACAGATAGCTCTTAACATAAAGTGATGGTCCAGTTGTGAAAATGTTCACTGGTGGTGAATTGGGATGGTAGGCCTACAGAAGGGAATGTACCAGGCACCTGAGAAACATGGAAGGGGGGAAACTAACGGCACAATGGCACTGGCTGGCAGTTACTAAGCTTCACTGTGGCCTCAGGGAAAAATTTTTTAAAGACTAGGAGTGATTAACAGGCAATTGGAAACCATGTATAAAAGCTAGAGGGCCTTCCTGGAGCATACAGCAAGGCAACCTTCAAGGATCTAAAGAATCCATACTCTTTTTTTTTAAGTTATTTTTTTAAGTAATCTCTACACTCAGTGTGGGGCTTGTTTGCAGGTACCAACAGGCAAGAAGGAGAATCATCATCTTGGCCAAGAGCAATCTACTTGAATACTTCTAGTATTCTCTTGCTCAATTTTGATAATAAGGGGACAAGTACAGCAACCTTGGCCTCAGAAGTCATGGTGGTCAGGGGCTCAGATCCTCAGGTAAGCCACTGAGATCAGAGGAGATGCTAACTGAGGGTGAGGGGAATTTAGGATTGAAAACAAGGAAGGAGACAATGAGTACTACTTGTGACAGGAACAGTAGTTGGGGCTGTAGTTTGTCCCACTAACCCTCATCTTCTAAGTTTCCATCAGGGATTCTGGAGGAGCTCTCCTGAAATTGGCCTGTAGAGAAGAAAAAAGTGAGGTGTTTTCCAAAATAAACTGGAGTATGTCTTCTTAGGTTGACTGTGGCAAATGCACTCTCCCTCCCCCCACCCATCTCTTCCTTTCTTTCTCTTTGGACAAACATTTCTATTAACAGTCACTAAACATCCACAAACATGAACCAGATAATAAAAACCAGGGGTATTACCACCAAAGCAGCTCATAAATTAGTGGGAAAAACAGACACCCAAACATGTATACAGAAATTCCACTCATATATATGTTTTAGTGTTCACATTTTGGTAGTACTTGACCTCCATGTAAATATAGAACTCCTCCAACTCCCCCAGAAAGCCCCCAAGAGGCATCTCATGTATGCTCATGAGCAGGTCTGGTCAGTTATCACAGACTTTGGCAGGTTTCTGCTTCTTCCTCTCCTCTGGCTCTGCTCTTCCAGAAATCACCCTGATCCAGGGGTACTGCACTTCTGCTGGCACAGATGCTGCTGATTCACTGGAGCCAGGGAGGTGACAAAGCTGTCCTGTGGGTGAGGCTGGGGAATGTTCCCCCTGTTTTTGTACTTTTCTTTCTCATGGATGGGGAGGCATGAAGGAGGTTAGTTTGTGTACCAACTTTTTACATTGTTTTAGTCCCTTTCAGTTTTTACTTAAAGTACTCTTTGCTCTTCCTTAAACTTCCATAGGACTCAGATATGAGTCCAGCGGGGGACCAGATTGGGAGGCAAATGCAGTGATACATGGAATACTAAATTGTTCTTCCCACATGTAGATTCACTGGGGGCATCCAACAGCCCAAGTCTACTCATGAGCGCAGACATGGTCTAGGTGGTTGCAACGTATGTTCAAGCTGAGTCTTCACCTCCTTGTTCACAAGAACCAGGAGGATGAAGAAGAGGGAAGGATTCATTTATCCTGGAGGATCAGGGAAGACTTTATAGTAGAAATGTCACTTGAGCTGAGTGTTAAAAGTGGAGTAGAGGTGGGGAAGAGGAAAGAGCAAAAACTGAGCACAAGCCCCTTAGAATGTTTGTTGACCCAAAGTTGTTGCCCAAGGAACTTACATTTCCATGCAAGCAGATCAGCAATAAACAAATGAACAAAAATGTGTATCCTGTTAGGTGATGACAAATGCCAAGCAGAAAAATCAAACATGAGGGAAGGGGGCTATTTTATCTAGAGTGGCCAAGGCTGGCCTTTCTGAAAATGTGGCTTTTGGGCAGAGGCCTCAGCAAAGTGATGAAAAGAGCTTTCTGAATCCCCAGGAAAGAGCATTTTGGGCAGAAGGAACAACCAAAGTGCAAAGCCCTGAGATGGTAGCCTCTTGGTTAATTCAAGAGCAGCAAGGCCTATGTCTGGGGCACAGTGATAGAAGAGGGTTTTGAGCAGAGGACATGATCAGTTTGCTGTTTGGAGAAGAGACTTCAGGAGGCAAGGGGATATACAGAAAGAACAGTGAGGAGGCTCCTGAAGTGATCCAGGTGATAGAAGACAGGAAACGTGTAGTGGTGGAGGAATCAATAAAGAATCGTTGGTAGAAGTTGATGGATTCTAAACATCATTTGAAGGTAGAGCCAATGGGATTTATTAGTTAGACTTCACAAGGATGAAAAGGTAGGTTGTTGATAAATTGGGAATCGAGACCATTTCTGAACATAGGAATCCCCTGCTTAAAAATTTCATGATAAAGTTCAGACGTTTTTAGCAAGTTATTTTTTGGTTTGTTGATTCATCCAACAAGTACTGACTAAATACCTACTGTGAGCCAGGCACTGTGCAAGGTGTTAAAGACACAATAATTTTAAAAAGGTAGGACATATAGTCAGATGGGTAAGACAGACAAGTAACCAGGTCATTACAACACATGTGACAATTGCCAATACAGGGGAAAATAGGGGCACGTGGGAGAGGTATCTAATTCAGAGTCGGTGGGGGGAGGAGCTTCCAAACTGTAATTTCAAGAATGAATAGGTATTAAACAGTTAAAGGAATAAAAGGAGAGTGAGGAAGAAGAATGGGGAGGCAGAGAGGGTAGGGCATGGAGGATATGAAGGAAGTTCTGTATGGCCATGAAAGATGAGAGGGAGGGGAAAGACAAGGCTCAAGATAAAGGGAAGGATTAGCTCACAAGGTGCTTATAAGTCATATCAAGCGTTTTGCATTTTATCCTAAAAGCCAATGGGGAGTCACTGAAATATCTTCAACAGGGGTGTAAATCACCAATTTACCTTGTTGAAAGAGCCTTTTGGCTCCCAGCTAACTGGGAGATAGATTGAAAGGTGGAGAAGACTAGAAGCTGGGAGAACAGTAAGAAGGCAACTGTAACCATCCAAAGGTGGTGTGGGATAGAAGAGAGTCCTAGATGGATTTGGGAGTTATTTGGGAGTGGAATCACCAGAACTTAATGACTGATAGGATAAGTGGATAAAGGAGAGAAAGGAGTCAAGAATGGTCCCTAGGTCTCTAGGTTGATCAGTTGGGTGGAGGTGGAAAGCATTCCCTGAAAAAGGGAGTACAGGAGAATTAAATCTGGAAGAGAATGCTGTCAATTGTGTACCTGTAGGTTTGAGATGTTGAGGGATATTCTGTGGAGATGCCCAAATAGGCTGGTGGATATGTGGATCCAACGGTGAGGAGAGATTTGGCACGGGTGGGGTGCCCAAAGATAGGTAGAGGAGGAGAGGAAGAGGATAAGCCCAGGGAAGAGGAGGAGGCCACGGTGGGCCCCAGTTCACCCACATTCAAGGCCTTCCCCAACGATTGTTCCAGTTGTATCTCCACTCATCCATTTGCAGCCAGCACACAAAGTTCTGCCCCTGTGCTTGGACCTTCACCTCACGTTTCTTCCCGGTTTCTGTCCACAGGGCTCTTTGTTCCAGAATCTAGCTCAAATATTACCACTTCAGTGAATTCTCTTTCCATAATAGGAAATTTGTATGTTTCCTCTAGAGTATGATGAGGTCAACTTCTTATGCATCCTTTTATTATATTCCCCGGACCTGGAAAATATGTTTAGAACATTACACGTGGAGCGTTGCCATACGTGAATAAATAAGCGAACAAAATAATAACTGGAGGGGCGGACTTCATCCAGAGGGAGCCAGAAGCGTCACATCATCAGCTCAGGGGGAAAGTTCACTCTCATAACGTTGCCCACCGTGGGGCTGAGAAGCATTCTGGGCCACCGTCTCTGGTAGTTCAACTCTGCCAGCCATTCAGCCCCTGCGCTTCACCAGAGGCCTTCTAGATTAAAGCCTCACCTTTGCCCTATTTCCCAGCCCGGCCCCTAACTTTCCGCCATCCCCATTGGTTGCGCGACTGCCCAATGGGCAGACAGAAACCGTGAGCTTTCGCTCTTCCCTTGAGGCGTTTCCGCTCCCGTTCGCGTGTCTCGCGAGCTTTACGGTGACTCGCCGAGGTGGCGCTGCTTGGTTAGGCTGTGCGACTGACGGTGTTGCGAGGCGGACGGGAATAGAGACCATGTTCCGAGTGGCGGCTCCGGGGCCGCTCCGGCGAGCGGTGAGTCTTGGAGGGAAAGGCAGAGCCCGGTGACGGTCCAGCCTCAGTGTACTGTCCCTGTGAGTGTCTTGGCGAAGATCATAGTCCTCCACAGACCTGACCGGCCTTAACGCAGGCAGGCCCAGCACTGCACGGTCTGTGGCTCGAGCCCGATGTTCTAGGGCTGCCCTTGACTCCTTCCGGGTGGACAGCGCGGGGGCCCAGGTCAGAGGTCAGGGTGACCCGGAGTATGAAACCGCGCTTCTGTTTCCCAGCCCCTTTTTCGCCCTCCTGACTTACTCTGCATTCCGGGTTCTCCACTCTGGCGGGGAGCAGGCAGCTGCGTGCCCGGGAATCTTTATCTGAGAAGGAAAATGTCGCTGCTGGGATGGCCTCTTGGAAGGAGGTTAAAACCTGAATTCACCTGGAAGCCAGCATTTCTGGAAGGAATAAAACATTTTCTCTGGGCGCGTGGTGGCTGCTGGAATCCATTCGCAGTCTAGTGCTTGGGGCACTGTGGTTAAGGGGTGGTGTTTAGTAATTTGCTCTGCCCTCTGATTTATGGGGCAGTCCTGAGTTTAGGAAATTGTGATGTAAAGTCTTTAAAGCTTTAGCCAGTTTTATGCAGGCGTCTTTTTATACTGCAGGCTGACCTGCTTTTAAACCAGCAGTAGATTGTTGGTTAAAGCCAGAGAACTGTTGGTAATAGTAAGTTTTTGGTTCTTTCCTGAGTGACAAATCAGGAATTTACCACATTTTTCTCTTCTCTTATGAGAAACACTGACAGAAAGTATATTTTTGTCTTTAGGCTCTGAAGTTGACTGATTACAAGTCAAGTAACAGTTTATATCGTGGGTTCTGTAAGTTTTCTAATTTACAGTTAGGTTAAGTGAAAAACAAGATCGCTAAACTGGGTCAGAAACTTTCCTGACGTTTTATACTTTTTCTGTAGTTTGTTTTATGCGTGCATATTTTCCCATCCACCACTGGGATTTTCTCCCAGAGACAGTTGGCAATCTTCCTAGATATCTGTAGGCTCTTGTGTAGTCTTTGTTTCATTAAAAAGAAAAAAAAGAAAGAAAGAAAGAACAAAAAAAGAAAAAAAAAGAAAGAAAAATCCTGCATGCCCCTCTACTCCGTGAAAAAAGTTCAAATCCCCATCCTCAAGTCACTCTTCAGTCATTCTCCCAGGAGATTTTTTTTCTTAGAAGATCTAGACATAAACAAGTTAAAGTTGTGAATTTGGGAAAATTCCAGGTATCAGAACCAGACTGGCAGAAAAATAGCTATGCAGTAATTAGAAGGTAGTTTTGTGGACAGGTTAGGAGTCTGGCATAAGTCAAATAATTTTAGTGGGGGCAATTTAGGACTCAGATGTTTTGTAGATCTAATGGAAAAAATGGAATGATTAGCTTAAGTGATTCTTCTTGTCGACACAGTTTTTCCAGTGTACATACATGGTATTTCCAAATCTTTATTGTAGTTTGCCAAAGAGTTTGACCTTGACTTACTTTGAGAATTTGAAGTCAAGCTAAACAGAGTAGTTGCTCTAAAGCCATAAGAATGTTTTAGAGTTGAATTTCAAGAATCTAAGGTAGGGGTGGGAACACTTCTAAAATGGATTCATAAATACACATACATATATAACTTTTTAAATTTTGAAATAATTTCAAACTTAAAAGTTATAAGAATAGTACACAAATTCTCAAAATCCTTTCAATTTCACCAGCTGTTAACAGTTAGACATATTTGCTTTATCTCTTTTCATATATACTTACAATTTTTCTGGACTATTTGAGACTATGTTGCAGATATACCCCTTACTCCCAAGTAAGTCAGTGTGTATTTTTTTTACGAAGAAGGTGGTTCACCTTTCATTCCACAGTAAAATAGGCAAAGTCAGACAGTATTAACAACAATACAATACTGTTATCCAATCTGCAGACATTCAAATGTCGCCAGTTGTCATATTAATATCATCTATAGCAATTTTTCTAGCAAATTGGTCTAGGGTCCTCCAGGATCATGCTTTGCATTTAGTTTTCTTGTATCTTTAGTCTTTGTTAGAAAAGCTCCTCAGCCTTTCTTTGGCTTTGATGACATTGACATTTTTGAAGAGTACAGGCCTTCTTTTTTTATTGACTGTCTCCATTTAGGTTTGTCTGGTGTTTCCTTATGATTAGATTTTGGCAGGAGTATCACAGAAATGATACTGTGTTTTCAGTGCATCATATTAGGTGGCTCAGAATGTTAATTTATCCCATTATTGGTGATGTTGACTTCAATTACTTGGCTAAAGTGTTGTTCACCAGGCTTTTCTACACTCAAGTTACTACTTATCCCTTTGTGATTTTTTAACTAATTTGTAGGGAGATACATTGAGATTATATAAGTTTCCTGTTTTTCATCATTTGTTGATGTTGAGATATTATTACTGTGATGTAAAATGGTAATTTCTCTAATCCTGTCATTCCTTCTACATTTATTGTATTCAGTTATAAGGAAGAACATTTTCTTCTTGCTTATTTTTGTATTTATCATGGATCCTTTATTTAGTAGGTTATAATCCATTACTACTATTACATTTTTTGATGCTCCCAAGTTCTATATTTCTAAAGTGGGAGTCCCATCATCCTGGCTTCTGTTTACTTACGATGTCATAAAAGCTTTTCTGAAAATCCATACTCTTGAACAAATTAAAAAATTTGTTTTGTAGCTAACCAGGAGCTATTTAGTAAGATACATTGCCACAAAATTACACTTTTACTAAAAAAGTTAATCTATTAAGAGATTATCCTAAACTGTTAATAATATGTGTATAGCTAACTTAATTGTACCCTTAAAAACGATTAAGATGATAAATTTTGTAAGTTTTTTTACTGCAATTAAAACTTTTTTTTAATGTTTATTTATTTTAAGAAGCAGAGAGAGACAGGGAGAGAGAGAGAGAGAGATGAATCTTCAAGCAGGCTCCACACTCAGCACGGAGCCTTATGTAGGGCTCAATCCCATGACCGTGGAATCATTACATGAGCCTAAATCAAGAGCTGAACGCTTAATCAACTGAGCCACCCAGGTGACTCTGTTTGTTACTGGAATTAAAAAAAAAAAGGGGGGGGGATGTCGGAGGCCACGCGGCTCCGACAGGTCCAGGGGTCCCTGAAGGACGGACGGTGTCGGTGAAAGAGAGTGAGAGAGCCCCGAGATTCTTTCTGATCACTAGGCAGGCATCTCTGCCCTGTCGGTTTTGGTATCTTTATTTTAAGGTTCAGCAACAAGGTGAAGTCATAGAAAGGAATTTCTTGCAATGGGAGGCCTTTTGTGATATCAATTAACAGAATGTTCATAGTGAAAAACAGCATAACATACAAGTTAAATTGTATATAGATAAGCTAGGAGTTATTCTGTCCGGCCCTCAAGAAGATAAATGTTTCTGAATTGGTTTATTTGTGGAAACTAACATGGGGGCCCTAAATTGTCAGTCTTTGCACCTGGGTTTATGTTTTAGCTACTCTTATCTATCCTCATCCCAGCTGCCAGTGTAAGGGAGGGTGTTTGTGGAATGCAGGCCCTGAGGAAGGGACTGCTGTGCTTTAGCAATTAGCAAAGATATATGTAGTAGCTATGTTCTGCTCTTAACCCCAAAATAGGCTCTTTGTCTCGGGGCCAGGCTCAATTGTAACTCTTGTGTTCTTAACCCCTTAAGTCTTGGATCTGCAAGACCCATAGGAAGAGCCTTTTGACAATCATCCATAGAGCTTTCATCTAAAATCTCTCTTGCAAAGGCAGAAATATGCTTTTCCTTATGGGGTATCTGTGTTCAGAATATGGGTCTGATATGGAATATTGTGAGGCCTGGTCAATACCAGCAGGCTTATATCCAACATGAGCCAGTAGTAGTAGAAGGAGACACCAGTTTTCATTTCCCATGGGAGGAGCCACAAACATTGCCATCTCCCCGCTGCAACTGCCATCCAGAGAGGCCGGCGCGGCTCCTGGCAGGGGGATACCTTAAACTGTTAGAATGTAAGTTAAATGACTTGCGCTTGGTATCCAAGTTCTCTTTCCTATATTGACCTGATTTGTGCCTTTGAGCAAATTTCTTCATCTTTAGGGGCTCTCCTCCATGTCATTTGTTTAATGAAGGTGGTTTTTTACATCTGCAATAAGGAGCTTAGAGAACCCATTAAGAGGGAAATAGGTGGGGGGGGGGAAGAGGGCAATAGTAGGCATTTGCAATTAACATTCTTGCAGGGAAGTTAATCTGAATTATGAGTAGTATTTTATATTCATTTGCATTTGAAATTGATTTGTTGACTAATAAGATTCCAAAGAATTACTTTATGTAGAGGGTAAGCAACACTTTTCAAGGTCATTCGAGTGTCCTGTTTTTGTATTCATTACTAGATGGGAAGGCATAACAATCATTCAGAAGCTATGAAACTGGTATGAAGGAACATGACATTTTTCAGAGTCCATGGCCTAGCATTGACAAATGAGATTGAACTCTATAATTTGCATGCAAATTTTAATTTCTTTTGAAAAGAAGAGACCCAATTTTGATGGAGTTCTAAAAGATTTATTGTATAAGGTGAATTCTGTAAAATTATGCTGCCTGCCAATGTGTCTACCAAGGGTCTTGTCTGTTTTAAAAATGAAGTAAATTGAGTGTGTTTTTAATATTATAATCAATGTCATATGACATTTCTAGTCATGATTAAAAGCTACCATCTTTTATTACTAAAGAGGTTAAAGTAAGTTAAAGTACAGCAATGTAATATACATTTTATTCTTATAAAATGTATGTTAAAATAGGGATAGGTGACTTTAATTATATATTATTTATCTTTTGCATTAGAACTTGGGAAGATTTTATATCTTATTCATACCTTTTTAGTTTTGAGTTAAGAAGTAAAAAGACCCTCACATTCTCCTTCACCTTACCTATATCCCACTTAGTTCTCAAAGATGGGGAATATGAGGCTAAATTATTCTT